GCAGAAGCAGTAAAAGCAGCTGGATTAGAAGCAGTCCCTGGGGGAGAGATAGTCCAAGGAAGTGGCATTTAGGGAATGTCAGAAATGGGAATTGGGAAGTTTATTTGGTGATGTGATTATTGCAGAACCACAGAAGCAGTTAAATTCACTCACAAGGAAACCTTGGAAATCTGAATGGCACAGTTGGTTTTTCTGTTGGGTGGCAACTGATCAGAATCCTTTTCAACAAATACATCTGAATATCTTTTCAGTGCTTCTAAGAAATCAGTCTGGCTGTTCAACTCTAGTGCCTCTCCGTCATAGAGCTAAACTAGCCAGTTCACTGCTACTCCCTTCGGACTCTCCCCTACACTATGCCATTTTGCAGCTTCTGAGGGGAAAGTGTCTCTATAATCTTGCATAGTGACTTTGGTGAATATTATTCCCTATTGGGTTCTGTACATTGGTGTAGCTGTTAATTGACTGTAGTCTTTGGGACACCTGATATCTGGGGTTAGCCAGCACAGCAGCTGAGTAATAAATGGGCCTGCTGGGTAGCCCAGTTCTAGAGACTATCCCTTGAAGCAGAGCTCAGACCCTGATGTTCCTTACAACTCCAGATGCTTTACCCCCAATGTTATGGAAATACTTTGGAGCACTGTCTCTGTTGAGACCTGTGAAGCCTACGGGGATGAGGGTTTTCTGGTTTAGCCTGGTATTTCTGTGGGGGAATGTTGGGAATGTTTTGGTAGATCTATTCCCGAGATGTTGGGAATGTTTTGGGTAGATTTATTATAAGGGAAACAGGCAGTGATTCTAATGAGAATTGGCCAGGATTAACCCTTAAAGGAATGTGGAGGAGACAAGAGGGTTACAGATACTTAGGCGATCCCTCGTTGGCCGAGTAGGATAGTCTTCCAGGATCAGTGTTCTGGTGGGTCTGTAGGTGACTGTGGAGCCCTATTCTTGATCTGCATCTTCTCCCACAGTGAGGGCATTGGTTTCCAGGTGGAAGGTGGTCCCAGTCAGGGTTGGCTTGACGCGCCTTCCTCTTGGCATGTTTCTCTCTTTCACCCTACATTTGTGCCTCTTCAAATTCTGTAGCACTGCTGGTCACAGCTGACCTTCAGGTGGAGCGCTCAAGGGCCAGGGCTTCCCAGTGCTCAGTGTCTATGCCAGAGTTTTTAATGTTGGCTTTGAGCCCATCTTTAAATCTCTTTTCATGTCCTCCAACATTCCGTTTTCCATTCTTGAGTTCGGAGTAGAGCAACTGCTTTGGGAGACAGTGGTCGGGCATCCGGACAACATAGACTCTTCCTTCGATTCCAAGGTATCAAGTTGTTAAGCTGTTTCTTTGGGTCTCCATAGGGGCTCCTCCCTCTTCTTCCTTCTTACCATCACTTCAGGGATCAAAGGAAATCTTGTCTCCCACAACCTGGTGCTGTGCTTTTGGCTTTCTGGAATGGGCTGTGTAGGCTCAGTCCATTTGCCTTCTACAACTGAATCCCAGGCTTCTTTTGCCTGTGTATAATCCAGTTTTATTAACTCCAGTTCTTCCTCCATGTTTCTGGTCACTGTTCCGGCAATTCTCTCTGTTCTTCAATTCCTGTTGGACCTTTGGCCCCTCAAGGGGTAAGTGTTTTGTCTTTGCCGTGGCCTATCTTCTCCAATGTAACCGTGGCCTCTCTTTTCCAATGTCTCTGATTCATTGACTCTCAGTGACTGAGGTCAGAGAAAGCAGGGATAGATTTGTAACTTTATGTGATGATTGCATAACCTTAGTAGCAGTCACATTTACTCACAAGGAAATATTGGAAATTTCTTTAATGCTAGGTTACTACTATACAGCAAAGTTACAAATGAAGAAAGTGCAGGCAACTTCTCAGTTTTAATCCCTAAAACCCTACCCTCTCAACTCCCAAAAGTTCTTCTGTCCAAGCTCCTAGTCTTCCAGTTTCAGCCGGTTCATGTTATCAGGCTCCTCCGCATGCAGGGCCCCAGATGTTTTCATTTCTTGACCTTGGCTTATGGCATGGAGGCCTTCTGTTATCCATGACAGGGCAGATCTTTCTGGTAGTAGGCAGAAGAACCAAGTCCTTCGTATTTTTTCTTAAGTAGGTTAAACAAGAAAATTGAGAGCAGAAAGCCCAACACAAGCCTTTTTTCTTCACTTCCCCACTCCAGGTTTTAATTCATTGCTGTTTAAGTACTGATGAAAGATTATCCTACCAAGCTAAGGAAGGAACTTTCCCACTTCTGTCCCCCATTAATTTTTTTGCAGCTTTGCTGCTGTAATGATTCACCATGAAATTTCACTGTTTGACTAGCTGCAGTCTATGCTGCTAAAACTTGGGGAGTTGAAGATGCATTCTTCATTCTGTTTTAGCCAAATACTCATCTAATGAAAAATGTCTCTATGTGCAGCAACTCAGTAGTACAGATCATAATTTTATGTAAGATACATTTACAGAAATCAAAGTACTGCTCAAAGCAGAAAAACCAAAAAGATTCAAGTGACAGATACTTAGATATTTTAAAGAAAACAGACTCCTTTTAGTGCAGTAGCTTCAGTCTCACAAGAGCTGGCACTGCTCTCTTCTTCCTTGTAAAAGGTTTAAACAGTTATTACAGCGTGTCATAAATTTTAACTTGTAATTGAAAATCTTTCCACTTCCTTGGGAAAAAAAATCCTATATCACTTGCTACATAATTACAGGCTATGCAGCTGGTCTCCGAGGCTTTGCAAGAAATTTGAAAACATGAAATGCTGTACAAACCCTAATCAAATTTTATTAAATGTTAAGCCAAGGAAATGTCATCCCCCACACCACAGAGTCTCAGAGAGCAATAGCGATTCCACATCTAAGCCTAAATAAAGCAGAAGATTCAAGAGTTGATTTGAGCTGCATTTAGTTAGCAGTCATTACTGATGCTCTCTATCATTTGGGGATCTCCCTGCCCTTCGGTATAAAAGTGTCAGTCCTGTTTGTGTCAAGCACACATCAAGGAGAAAACTAGTGACATTAATAAGCCACTTGAAGAGATGCACTCTTGCTATTGTTAAGCTTGCATTTCCAAACACTTTCAGAGATATAGCCAAACCAATTTGGAATGTTGTAGTCTATACATGGTATCATTTAAACTATAATATGAATATTGTTATTTTTGGAATGAGGCAGAATTTTTAGTGAAATTAAATATCATATTCAGGCATACTTCAGATAAGAAATTATATGCATTCCTAGGAATTACTTATAATTGAAAATTTTGTACCACAAAAAGAAACAACAAGGATTTAATCTGAATTGCTTTAATACTAATGATTATTAGTATTGTTTTGATATTTGTAATTTTTGTATATTTTAAATTGTATTGTAATACTTTTAATATTAACTGCTCTGAGTCATCTTATTGAGAGAAAAAAGCAGGAAATAAATAAACATAAACATAATAATAAGAGAAAATTTGCACTATTCCAAAAAAAAAGCACATCAAAATGTTTCAGAACTTTTTTTAATTAAAAATAAATGAAACCAACATACATGGAATGAAACAAACAGATGAAATAAACCTTCCACAATGAAAATATCTGAATTTTCTACTGAGAACTTGAAGTTTCTTTTCCCCATAAGGGGCATATATAAACTCCATCATTGTTATGATTTCTATTTTGATGTTTTATAGGTCAGGATACCTGTTGAAACAAGCTTTTGAACCACTCTTTTGAACCTTCATGCTATTTCAGATCTATGTGAAACCACAGGGAGAGCCCATCCAGAATTTTGGAGTGCAGTGCCATCTACTACTCCTTTTCCACCCAAAGTCAAGGAAGCTGTCCTGGTCCTAAATCAGTGTCTGTCAACAGAAATTGACTGGATACAGGCAAACAAACTTCATCCAGGAAAGAAAAAAACAAACAGAAGTGTTCCTTCTGCAGTCTGCAGTTTGGGTGTACTCCTAGACTTGGCACTGAACCTGGAGGCCCAGGTTTCCGTGATGGACATGAATGTGTTTACACATTTAAAATTTGTGTGCCAACTGTGGCCATTCCTTGGGATGTCAGATCTGGAAACATTTTAAATTGGATTTTTTTTTATGTGAGCCACTTTGTGTCTTGATCAGAATATAATAATAATAATAATAATAATAATAATAATAATAATAATAATAATAATAGAGTATGCTGGCTTAGGGAATTCTGGGACAAAATCCCCTAAGCCAGCATACTCTATTTGGACAAAATATAACTTTTCCAGACATTTGCTTTGATGATCAAAACAACCATTTCTCTCTGTTGTACTGTTCTTTGCATGCTCCGTAAGAGATTCTGGAGACTGCTGCTATTTGTCCTGCCTGTTAATCTAGCACTCACAGCCATGGTAGCCTGGTTATAGTAGAATCCTATTCTTTCCCAGCTCCAGATATGTTTACTGAATTGGTTGCTGCACACATACCTCCGAATGCATCATTCAGTCAGGTGCAATATATTTGTGAAAAGAAGCTTTGTTAGCAGATGATTTGTTAAAGGAGGTAGTCCTATGTACTGTGTACTTATACTGTGATAGGCAAAACATGCAATCTTGAGTAACTCAAAATGGAATCAAGAAATAGCATCAAAGTTAATATACATTTGATATGCTGTTTCCTGCGAATAAAAGGTCTTCAGAGCAGAACAACCATGTAGTACAATTGGCAAACTGTAAACAATTAAACCACAAGTGTGCAGATTTTAGAAAGTTTTTTGCAGCAAGAAAGAAATTGCTAAAATCACCTCTGCTTTCTTCAAGAAAAAAGTGCAGTATATGTATGTATGAAAGGTACAGGAATTGTGCACCTCTTAACATTTGTTAGCCTCAGGGCAAGAACATGAACACAATGTACTATAATGGTAAATGTTTAAGCAGGAATAAAGTTTCTTTACACAAAATATTTTTTCTGTATAACAGTGTCAAATGTATAGTAGCAAGTATTGGATTTAACATTAATCACAAGTAGAGCCAGAATAAAGCTTTTTTTCCTACCTTCCTCTTGGCAAGTCATTGTCATCTTTCTTCCAACGCACTGTTGGCTGGGGATCTCCTTGAACTTGGCATCGAAATTCTACAACTTCTTCCTCCAAAACCACTTGATTGATTGGTCTCCTGAGAAATGTGGGTCGTTCTTGAAAAGAAAAGTTTACATTAAAGAGTGGTTAGATTCCATAGCAAGTATACAACAAGCATTCAGTCCAAAACGAGTACAGTGCTTCTATATTCAAGATAATTTTGCTTTCCACCTCCATTCCATTATATGGAACACTACATCCTACACAGTAGCACCTCAACTCCTCTCAATAAAATGTAATTTTTCTATGAAAGCGAAACAGTACTTTAATATATGTATCCAACAAAGGTGCTGCATCACAATGAACTGGATCATACAATTTCCTTATCATGATCAACAATTTTGGTTAATTGGGAAATGATTACCATATATACTCGAGTATAAGCCGACCCGAATATAAGCCGAGGCACCTAATTTTACCACATAAAACTGGGAAAATGTATTGACTCGAGTATAAGCCGAAGGTGGGAAATGCAGCAGCTACTAGTAAATTTCAAAATAAAAATAGATACCAATAAAATTATATTTATTTGGGCATCAGTAGGTTAAATGTTTTTGAATATTTACATAAAACTGTAATTCAAGATAAGACTGTCCAACTCTGATTGAACCATTATTCTAACCTTCTTCAATGTAAATAGGCTTACATGTCCTCCATTAATAATAAATAGAGTAAAATAATTATAGAGTAAAATAATAAATGTAATAACAACAACAAAATAATAAATGTAATAATAATAATAATAATAATAATAATAATAACAACAACAACAACAAAATACAATAATAAATAATATTGACTCGAGTATAAGCCGGGGGAGACTTTTTCAGCCTAAAAAAAGGACTGAAAAACTAGGCTTATACTCTAGTATATACAGTAATTCTTTATTATGCTCCATTTATCTTTGATTTCTCTTGTGTTACATTCATGTGTAACATCCTGAGCTAGACATTCTATGATATCAGATTATACTTTATTGTAAAGGTCATTATTCCAGTTTCAATAGTCCATTTTTTCATCTTTCCAACCCTATGCTATCACTGCCTATCCTGTTAAATCATAGCTTTAAATAATTCTTGATGTTTTACTTTAATCTTGTTGTTACCTTAACCCCCCATTAGCATCAAATCCATGTTCACTTGAAGTGATAATTTAAGTAGTTTTTCCATTTTCTTCAATATTTTTTTCCCAAAAGGCTGTTGAGGATGTGGTTATGGGTTAACACCTGACCTCAGCTAGACCCGCATCAGGTTGCTTCCCCCATTTCTTTGCTCATCCCTCACTGACTCTTAAATTTAAACAACAAAACACTTGAAACAAATACATTCAAAATGCAGAGTAGAGATGCAAAAGACATGCATATTAATCTATGGTAGGTATGTATTATTTCCATTTTGCATAATTTGTTTTCCATCTTGTATTATTTCCATCTTTCTAAGTATCACTCAAAAAGTGTAGAATACGACCAATACCTAGTTATATTTCTATGGAATGAAATATAACTAGAACCATTGCCAATGCAATTAACATTCTTTATGTAGGATTAACTGGATTTGCATCACCTGGATAACTTGTTCACAGTGTTAATCTCTCGGGGGACAACATAATGTTCCTTTCAGGCATATGCTAAATAAAGTATGTTTTTTATATTGCTCACTCAAGCTAATTTCACAGCAGTTTTTGAAATATATTATTTGCTCCTTAAAAAGTTCCAGTCATAAATTCTAGTGGAATAATTAAAATTGTGATTTTTGTCAACAGTATTCAACACATAAATTAAAATCATAGCCATATATAACATATTTAATGTAACTGTTTTATGATCTTAAGATGAATAAATAAGGAACCCTCTACCAAGACTTTGTTTCTGTGGTGAATATTAAAAGCCTTGAAGGAGACTATAAAATAGGGTATAGTTATATGTCATGTCAGCCATTCTGACTATTACTGTTCTGACCTTTATAACTTCTGAATAAACTTTGCTTATAGTTATAAATGTGGCTAGCAATTGACCTAACAAATTCAAGTCATTCAAGTTATGGCCCAGCACTTATGAAACATCTAGATGTGTATTAATAAGCAAAATAACAGTTGGATTTCAGAAAATGGGCTTCACTTTAGCATCAAGAAAATATTTGTAAGTAGTTGGTCCACGGTTTACCTCTTCTACTTATTTTTATATTTATTTCCCACTGGCTCTAAAAGGGTTTTTATCAGACACACTTTTCCATGCACCAAAAGAAAAAGAGGTTATTAATCATAGATTGTCAACATTTAATTAGCAAAATCTAGACACTTGACTTGATATATTTACCATCATGGGCTCATAGCACTTTTGTCATTCTTTGTCTTTTGTATTTGCTGTAACATATAATATTGTATTCAGTGGTGGACACACATTAGCAAAAAACACATCTGCCCATATAAGGTGATATTACTTCATTAGTTCATCAGTTTAACCTGCCCACTGCAGTCACTCATCTTAAAAAGCTGTTCCTAGTGACTGGGGTATTCCCTGGCTAGAACACCAGAGCTTCAGGAGGTAGGCTTGGGCGAAACTTTGTGTAGGTAAAAGGGATTTTCTATTAATATAAAGCCGTACTTGCATAAAAACCACTGGTTGTAAATCTCAACTAGTGGAGATCCACTGAATCAATGGATCTTAATCTAAGTGTTGACTCACCATTGATTGTGAGTTTAGTGTAGTTGTCACTACAAAAAGGATTTAAGTTATTGCAAATAATCACATAGTGCATTATTCTTGTCCTTGCCAGCTGTATCTGTACTATGAGGAATTTGTTTGTTCTTGCTGTTTTATTTTGAATGATTGGTTATATTCAAATAATTTTGTTTGTTTAGCCCAGATATTTGATTGGGTTAAGATATATTTTCCACGAAAGCAAATAGCAAGCTTAACCTTTCCTTATATAATGTGGTAAGTTTAAGGATCTGACCTAAGAAAGTTTTACAGTATATACTGTGTTATTTTGTAAAACATGTAAAATATTTAGAATTGATAAATCCAATGGTTTTATCCATTTATAACATAAATAATACAAATAAAAGGAAGCTCACTAACTCACTAGCTATGCCTTATATAGATACTGTTTTGAAAAGGAGATAAAAATATTAAGAATTGATATTAAGAATGTATTAATTATAATTGCTATTAAGAATTTATTAATTATAATATTTAGGAAGAGAATTAGTAAAGGGGATGAGGAAATTTGTCAATATAGCTTTGTTGCAGCCTGATTGACAATAGAGAAATCTTGGAAAGGTGAAAAAGAAATATCTAAAAAGGACTGGAGACAGGCATGTAGCCCCCAAAGCCCCCCCCCCCGAAATTCTCATGGTGGTCCGCGAGAAGGCCCTACTGGTACATTATTTAAACTGTTATGTTTATTCATATCATGATCTGATCACCATGCTCAATATATCCCATATGCATGGGGGTATTGGGGTAACGATACAAAAGGTTTGCTAGGGTAGACCCTCTTTCACTCAGACTCAGCCCCCCAATCAAACTCAGCCCCCCCCCCCCCCCCCCCCGAATCAAAATCCTGGCTATGGGCCTGACTGGAGATAAATGTTATTACACTATATTCAAATGGCCAAGCTATCTAATGGTATCCGGGGAGGAAATAATGAAGAGTTCACTAAAAATGGAGGTTGGCATTTTAACGTTTTGAAAGAAAGACACATGTAGACTTTAAAGTAGCTGCAAGGGAATTTACTAAAGTAGTTAGAAGAGCAGGTTTTATTAGATATAAGATTCACAGTATGTAGTGATGGAAGTCATAATTGGTGGATTCACAGGTGAGAGGTGGGAGGGAAAGGATTTGTTAAAATGTTGCAATGTACCTGTTTTGCTAGTTAATGTAATTTTTGCATATGTTTGTCACTTGAATACAATAAAATTTAACATAATTTATTTATTATAGTAGCAAATACAGTAATCTTGAGAACAAACATACACTGAAAATAAGAGATATAAAAGCATTCTCATTATTCGGTATTTCACTGGTCATTTTCTAGCCATTTCTAAAAATAATATTCTTCCTAAGATATGAATTACTATTCTGCCTTTCACTTTACCTCCCTCCCTTCCTCCCAATATGTTTCTTTATAGTCTTATTTCTAACTTATTTCAGAATTTTTGTGCATTTTTAGACCTGGTCTCCCTGTTCCCACTGGACTCCTTTCACCACCCTATTTACTCTTAGTCAGCATCACTAGAGGCAATGCCTCCAGCTAAATTCACTGCAATGGGATCTCAAGATCAGTAATAAGTGACACACCAAAACTGATTTCTGTTATTAGTTGAAAATATTTCAAGACCACAAACAAATGAGGGATTGAATCCTGGAAAAGTTTGAAAATCAGAATGTTAAAATATCAAATAGAATGTCCACAAAACTCTTACATATATATTTTAAAGCAAAAGTAGAGTAATTAATCAGCAGCTGACTAATTAACTTTCCTCTACCTAATCCAGTGCTTTCTGTGTACTTGCCAAAAATGTTATTAAACTGTGTTCAGCTTCCCACACAAGCCAATTTTAATTTCCTGTTCTGGTTTTAGGTACATACCCAACATGTACAACTTTCTGGAGGAAAAATATTTAAATTGGTATTAAACACCTAAGGTAGGATATTCTAGTGCCTTAGGAATGTACGACAGATGTTTTAAAGTCAAAATAAAAAGATATATCCTTGTTTTTTACGAACTTTGGATTGTATTCAATTAAAACCTCCTATTGATGATTTCTGTCAGCAGAATAGTAAGGTAATAACTGTAGCTTCATGTGTCTTATAATCTAAGTCCAGTAGTTTCGAAGAGTCTTTGGGCAGAAGGAAAGGACAAGGTTCCAAGAAAGAGGAAAGCACAGTCTTATTATATGAGCTATCTTTACATGCTTACCCAGTAGAAATAAGAAAAAAGGACTTCCTGTTAAATAAGTATTCAGTCATGTTATTTTGTTCCTACATTATAGTGCCTGAAAATGAAACCATCTAACATTAGCCTATGACTATGGGTCAAACCCAATGCACTACAACTGGCCCTATCATATCTCAATTCATGAAGTCCTGGTGCTGGAGAGTTTCCAAGGCTTCCAGAGCTAGTGTTCTGGGGATGGGGGGGGGGGGGGGGCTGAAGTGGGAAAGAATATAGCTCTACTAAATTCCACTGGAGCATGACATTTTGCTAGCAGAAACCCACCACTGGATACTCTCCTATATGGTAAAAGTGAAATACTAGATGGGATAAGAAATAGATCTGATATACAACTACATTCACCTTGTAAAAACTAGGTAGTAAAATTACCATATAAGTTCATTTTAAAGATGCAGTAGGCAAATCAGGACTGAAAATGGTGTTGGCATATGACAATTCTGAAACTGTACTATTAACACCGTTTCATGTGACTTTTTTCTACTTTCCTCTCTGTCTTGTCAGATAAACTATCCAAATTACTGATGTCTTTCTGTATCTGTTCTCATTATTTTGTCCTTTCCCACTTCTTAACCACTGCTGCTCCTGCTATTTATGCTTCCATTCTCCAAACGATTACTTTTTTATTGGCTTAACTTCCAAATTTAAACACATTACTCTACAGCAAGGTTTTGAAAAATCATCACTTGAGTTCTCAGGTTTTTCTAATTACAGTTCTGTTTTAGTGTTTTCTTTAAAACTCTTGGAACATGCTATTTAAGAACATTGACCTACTTTCTTATAGTTCTATACTGGGTCCCCTTCAATCTGGATTTCACTGCTTGCAGAGGTTGCTCTTATGAAGATCATAAGTGATGTTCTTCTTGTCAAGTCAAAAGGCCATTGTTCAGTTCTTACCCTTCTTGATCTTTCTGTGTCCTTTGATGTCATTGATCCTGTTCTAGTGTTGGATTCCCTTTGTGATTTATGGTTTGTTAATTCTGTTCTCAGATGGTTTGTGTCATATCTCTCAGGCCACTAATTTAATTTGGTGACTGGAGGTTATTTACATTTTAGTTGGGGTACCATATGGTTCTGTTCTGGGCTTTTTGTTGCTTTCTCTTTATATGTTGTTCCTGGGTAACATTATTCATTGTTGTGACCTTCAGTATCATCTTTATGATGATTACACTCAGGAAAGTATTTCCACTGTAGAACTTCTATAGTATGTCTTCCAGCTATTTTGGCATGGATATTTTATGATCATTTGAAACTCAACATGAAACAGAAAGAATTGCTTATTTTTGTCTTCAAAGTCTTCTTCATAAAATATATTCTTTATCAGTGTTAATGATATTCCCTTTCATACTGTGTATTTTAGTAATTTATTTATAAAAAATAAGATTGTATGGCTTTGGTCAGAAGTGTCTGTCATATTAAATGATACTTAAATAAGTAACAGCATTAATAAATACCAGAACAATTCACTCACTTTCACTACAGATGTATCTGCCTATATTTGGGGATCAGCAAAGTGACACATTTGTTTGGAGGACAGCAACAGGGCGTAAAGCTTTTCAAGGAATTGCAATAAATCCAGCACAGGATGTAAAGCTAAGTTTAAACCTGTTATATTCAGCCCAAATATTGTAGCAACTGATAGTACAACCCTACAGACGTCTAATCACAAGTACGTCTTACTGAGTTAAGTTAGACAACAAGGTATTGTGCCTAAATGACATTAGTTTCTGTTAGGGATTAAGGTCATAATAAATATGAACAATGTATGATGTATGACAATGACAATAAGCCCATGGTCTCCACTCTTCAAAATATTATTTTATAAGAAAGTTTATTTTAATTAGGATTAGCATATATGGAATTTTCAGGATACAAATGCTCCCCTATACACACACAAGACAAATGTCTGAAATGATGACATAGATTCATTTCTTATATTAAACTCTCAAGTGGCCAGTTTGGGGGAGTGGAATGAAAAGAGATCTGGTAAAGCAAACTGTTCTGCGGCATACTAATATTGGTAGCTTTTATTTGTATAAGATGGAAAGTCATCACAATTTCCTGTATAGCTACAGTGATGGTGCTACACATTGTCACTAGTTTTTGGAGTATATGATGATCAGATTAAGCAAAAATTAATAGTTGTCAGCATTCTTTAGGACATGTATCGACCTGCATATTTAAATGGATTTTCATCTTACTTCTAAATTCATTTAACTTTGAGAGTTTTTATAATTTCACACAGTAAAAGTTTTTCTGTGAAATAATATCTTTAGTATTATAGGGAATGTTGAATATTTACAGCACTGTAAGGGAGGAGAGAAGGCCATTAATTTAATACATATTCTTGGACACATTCTAATCCAGTAGCTGTAACGGATACACTAATCCACTTTTACAATTTCACTTAACATGCCATACTTCAATACAGAAAAGCCAACAGCTAAATAGGAAACTTCCTGGTAACTCAAAATGTCATAATTTAAATTCTTATAATTGTGCTGGATACCTTTCTTAAATAGACTAACTTTTAAGAAAAACACAAAATCTATACTCCTCTCCCTTTTGTACCTTTTAAAAAATAATGTTTTGTAATAAGAATGCACTATTTGGAATACAAATTAAACATTTGCATAAATATGTAAGATTTCTAAAGCACATACTGAAAGGTGTTTAATATAGTTAATAAAAGTAAAACATAAGAGCATGGAAATAATCATTCTTATGGGACAAAATTCTTTTTTCCATTTTTTTTGTCTGAATGAAAACTTTCTGAACATCTACAGAAACCTATTAATAATATACAGAAATATCACCTTTGAGAGTTGTCTTATACTAGGGTTGTATGATGCTATCATTTAGTGAACACAATTGATTTAGATTTTGTATCATACCTAACCCATTCCCTCTCTATGCTTACCTTTTCTTACAAGGAAAACAATCCTGATTTTTCCATTTAATTTTTTGACAAATTCTATTTGGAAGCTCAACCAACCTGTACACTGAAAGATAACCAGTTTGGAAGTGAAAATCGTGATGAAAATACCTATACTTATGAAGTGAGATAGACCCAATATTTTTTTTGTTTTTGCAAATGCTTTGATCTACCAGCCCAGAGGAATAAGAAATAATTTACATGGGCTACATGACTGTGAAATTCTCTGAAGCATAATCTGTCAGCAACATTAAAATTTCTTAATTATATTTGATGATTTGGGGAGAACAACATTCCCAGGTTTATGTTCTCTTTGACTAAAGTTTAAACTCTGTACTTTGGAGGACAGGAACTGTTTCATTTTACAAGTCTATCAGACATCTTGAGATTTGTGCATCACTGTATATTTCATGAGGAAGTGTTATTATACAAATTATAACCTTTACAGCACTGATTTTATACTGTGGTACTTGGTTGAATTTCATCATTAATACATTCTGTTTGGATCTCATAGGGAAAAAAAAGAAAATATGTATTTTTACCAAAGACAGTCAGTTCTGCTGGATCACTGTCCCGTTCTCCAACCATATTGGTGCCAACACATGTGTACATTCCAGCATCACTCTTTCTTGTGTTTGAAATCATAAGCTTACCACCTCGTATCTGCAATAAAGAAATTAGAGGGGGTGGGGTGGGGACATGCCTATTAATAATGATACAATATTAACTCCACAAACAGAAAAATAGCAATAAAATATTTTATTTGAAGTATTAGTAGATGCTGCACCTGTTTCAATAGCACTGTTTCATGTATAAAGTGATTTACAACCCATCTAACATGACGTAAAATGGGTGAGGCACTGAAGAAATGAGCTCTTCTCAGTCATTTTCTGATTTAAGGTGCAAGTATATATTTTCAACTCATTCCTTTCAGTAGATAGCTGATGGTAAAAAAGATTTCTACATTGTTCAGGTATAGAAGTCCACAACGGATGTTAATGTGAGAAGTGTGAGGATCATCTCTTTCAATACCATGATTTCTTCAGGCTACAGTTATCTAAACAGAAGGACTTGAAGAAAACTGTCATTTCTAAAGTCTTGTAACATTTGATCTGTTGAGAATCAGCAGTTCTTTAAATGAGCCTCAGCTGGAAAAGTGTTCAGTTTCTAAATCCAGAGACTCCATTACTAACTTTTTGAACATAACTGTAGATTAATGATAACAGCTTAAACACATCAAAGGCCTTACATTTCATCTTATCTTAGAAAATTAAAATGTCAGTTAGTACTTAAATAGGAGACCACAAATAAATACCTCATGTTTTAAGCTAAATTTCAGATAAAGTTAATGACCAATCACCTTGCCTTAGGAAAGCCCATACAATTCATAAGGTTGCCATAAGTTGGCAGAAGACTTGAAGGCAGCTATGTACTATTTACAGCAGGTCAAGTTATTGTATAATCGTATCTCATCAAAGCTTTAGGTTCCATAATTTTCCTGAAAAACTACAGTGATATCTCTTTTTTTGAATGGCCCAGATTTCACTAGGACAGACTTACACTGATTCTCTCTTCTCTGTCATCAATTCGGATTTTGTCTTTTTTCCAGTAGATAGTGGGCTCAGGATGTCCTCGAGGGGGTTGGCACTCCAAAATGGCTGGTTCACCTGCTGCCACAACAACATCTGTAGGGTTTTGGCGGAAATCATCCCGTAGTACTGATAGAAAAAAAGATAAACAAATGATATTTACTAAATAAAACATTATAGGGGTGAATAAGTTTCTTTGCTCAGCAGTTCTTGGTATTTATTTAACATGCTGACAGAAATCCCTCAAGACCTATTAATTGTAACAGAAATAAAGATAACTGTAGAAGTAGCTTTTTTATTATAATATGGCATTGGCATGTATTTCATAGGTATAACTCTGGTATAAACACAAATATCTACACATGATTCCCTTTTCCATTGTGCAGTCATGGTCAGTGTGATCTTTTGTGGAGGTAAAATCCTTACACTTACTGCTGTTCTGACAATGAATTATTTCCATTAAAAACAGTGTGCTGGACCTTGATTGTAACCTTTTGAAAATCTAGTGTGTTTATCTCAAAATTGATATCTGCAAGAATAGCAATTTAAAAGGACAACTAGACAGAAGATTGGTGATATATATGTGCCATGTTGTTTTACTATATGGCATTTTTATTTCACTATTTGCAATAATAATATCAATAAGAATCTGAAGGGTACCATAGTGTTCTGAATGAGCCAATATAATAAGCACCTGCTTTTCAATTCATTTTAAATATTTCTTCAATCATGATTTTGCTAGCCATCTCTTTTAACTTTACAGCAGATATTGTGAGAGAAAGCCAAAGGAGGAAAATACATCCACATTACTCTCTTCTGTAGTAAATTAAACCAAGAAACACATAATACTTCCTGTGCACATTATGTCACAGCAGATGAGTTAGGCATTTGGTGTACAGAAATCATAGTCACTTCATCATTATTCTTCCACATGTGTCTCTATGTCTAGGATATTTTTTTTATCCTTATAACCAGGAAACAGAAAATACTTCCAAGCTAAGCAGCTACTAAAATTTAGAACATCTCCCTTTTGGTATTTGTAAGAGCCTCATTTTCACTTTAATACAGATCTCACCTTTAATGGAAAAAGTGTCCTCTGAGAAATCAAGGAAAGTCTGCATCTTACTAAAAGAGCAGCCGGAACAGTTCAGCAAAAATCATTCACTCTCAGCTTATAAGCAGATTTAATTTACTGCTTTTGCTGTTAATAAAATGTGCTCTGTTTTAACATTTTGAACTGCACATTTCCCATTTCCGTGTGTTACACGCAAGGATAAAATTTATATGCACATGGATTAGCCACTGAATGGGCTGAGTTGAGCCTGCATATAAATTTGGTTCTCAGCTACAGATATGGGTTTCTGCTTATAGTTTTAGCATTTTCAAGACACACAGGTAAATCCTAAGAGAGAGAAACTAATTAAATGTTAATTTACTTTCCAGTATAAAAGAACGGTCTATGTATGCCAAGTCCAGACACAGAAAATAACAATAAAGAAATTGGCACAAGTGTAATTCTGGAAAGGACTCCACTTTCTATAAAAGGAAACACCTTGTGAGATGAATGTGTCCTTCAGATCCCTCTTGGAAAAAGACTGAGCCAAAGCTATATTTTGAACTGAGGGAAACACACATACACATCTGCAATTACAAAATACTCCAAAATCTGAAATTGTGACACATTTGCTTTCTGATGGTTAATGTGTACAACATATGCTTTATGCACAGAATCATTAAAATATTGTATTAGTTTATCTCCTAGCTATGGTTTAAGGTGCATATGCTATTTAAAGCATTTCTAGTTCTAAGTATTCTGGATAAGGCATACTGAACCTGTATGTGTCTCTGTATGTAATGCCATTGACGTTTAAATTCTCAGTAATGCAAAGTTCAAAATATAGAGAACCATTGGGTAAAGCTGGCCCTACATGATGGTTATCAGAGATGTAATTGAATTATAACAATAGCATACGTGTAACATTCCCACACTCATGAATAGTGCATTACCGATTACAGAACAACCTCACCAACTATGGACCTTGCAAGCATAGCATATAGTTTGCACCATCATCATTATTATGACTATGTTTATTTATATCCGGTTTTCTCTCCACAAGGAAACTCAAAACCGCTTACATTAAAAGCTTATCAATACAAATTTAAATATAAAAATACACAAATATTAAAACAAAAAGACTCTCAGATAAGCTTCTGTTATGGATACATGTGTAAATAATTATTCAATAAACATATCCATTTGTTTGGCAGTTTATGTGTGCAACTCCTACTATCCTAATCAAGAATAGCCAAGTACACTGGGAATAATGCAACACAGGGAATAACACATCTGTAGGGTAGTAAGTTGGAAAAACCTGGTATGTGGAACACTAAAGAGTACCTTTAATGATTTCTCACTTGTCACTTTCACATATAGTACCAAAAACCATTAGATAATCTCATAATTGGGTATGAAATGGCATCCAAATCTCAGAGTCTACTTTAAGAGAGTATGACAGCTATGGGGAGGGAGAAAGAAAGGGTAGTGGAGAAGCATTTCAGGGTCATAGGTAAAATTCTAATAAAATATTATAAAATATTTTATAAACTGTGAGGGAAAGATTGAACCCAGACACAAAATCTGATGAGTTAGTGAACAGAAACTGTAGTATATTTTGAAACTATTATTATTCACCTCACTCCTTTTACACAAAATGTGTTCTGGAGAAGCATTTGTAGACATGACAAATACATAAGTTAACAAAGGTTAATTGTGACATTGATGGCATGTGCTTACTCACCAATACAGACATTTCTAAACATAATGTCTACTGTGAAATATAATCCTGTACAGTGAATTTGGACCTAAGTACAAGTTTACTGACTATAAGGGACTTCATTTCAGAAAGAAAATAAAACACTATGAAGATGAACACTTGGAGCTAAACAACCTACTACAATGGAATAAAAACTTGCTACCAAGGCAACTCTTCACTAACACCTGCCAATGTAGGACCAAATCCAGACCCAGGTCAAAATAATGTCTAGAAAGTCTAGGAATTCTATAGAAAATTAATTCATTTCCTTTCCCAAGGCTCTGAGAATTTGTTTAGAGGAGTCTGAGTGTTTTATAGAGAAGTGAATAGAGGGGTCAAAATTATTCTAATCTATATATCCACGGCTTAATCCTCCCTTTTACTATAGAAGCTCTCTGGCCGTACTGTTTTTTAAACACGTACACACATTTTAATAGGATTTACATTTACATGATGATTACAAATAACCATCTGTCTGCCTCTAGTTTTCAATCTGGCCCATGTCCCATGAGCCCATAGCCTATGGTCAAAGCATCTCAGCTAGAAAGAAAAAGTGCAGGTCTTTCAGGAAGTTTGAAATAATTTGCATTCTTTTTCCCATAGTATGTGATTCTTCAGTCTATATAAAGATTACACAGACATTGTTCTATAAATTCCACATGTAAACATACAGAGAAATGCATTTGCCTGCACACACACATTACATGTTTTAATGGTTATTATATATGTTTTATATTGTTATTTTGACTGTTTTTAATTGCACTTTTATGAATGTATGACATTGAATTGTGCCAATCTGTAACCCAACTTGAGCCACCATATGGTTGAGAAAGGCGAGCTATAAATGTTGTAAATAAATAAATAAAATATGTTTATCTCACATTTTGCAGATTGAAAATAAAGTTACATTGAATGTTCATATACCCCTTGCCAAGTTTTACATAATAATGTTGCAAGTTTTAGCAGTTGAACTTTGTAGATGAGCATTGGTTCTTGTTTTGTAAAAGGAAGACTTTATTATGCATGAAAAGGCAGCTGCATTTTAAATACAACAGTTTTCACATTTTAAAGCACCGCCCTACTTTTGCTGAGAAAACCAAATTCATAGGATGTAGCACTGACGACACTTGAGGACAGACTCATATTTAATATTATGGCCATGATATCTTGAAGGCCAGCGAACAAAGCACTTTTGATATGATGATGTAGCGAAGACTATCTGAATGTTTAGTTTTAGCTTTCTAACTTGAAACATGATGTCCCCTTGTTGATTTTCAAACAATCTTTACCCACAACCTCTGAGGATGCCTGCCATAGATGCAGGCAAAACATCAGGCGAGAATGCTTCTGGAACATGGGCATACAGCCCGAAAAACTTACAACAACCCATCTTCTTAAGATTATGCTCCAGTGGCTGAGTAAAACATATTTAATACAACTATCCACGAAGGAATCGCCAGCTGCCACCTCATCCTAAGCTAACAGCAGATAACTCTTTCATGGTGATTGGGGAAGATTTCCTACTGGCAAACTACTTTAAAGCAAACTACCTTTTCTTTGCATAAGAAAACCCTTAAAAAAATGGTGTTGCCATAAGTTGACATATGACTTTTAAAATTATTTATTTATTTATTTACAGTATTTATATATCACTTTTCTCACCCCTGGAGGAAGTCAAGGTTGCTGCTAAGGTTTCTTCTAGCCCCCGTACTGTAAAGGAACACCTTATCAAATCAGATGGCCATCTAGCCTCTGTTTAAAAACCTCCAGAGAAGGAAACTCCGCCACAGTTCAAGCAGTGTATTCCAAGATCAAAGAGTTCTCATCATCACAAAGATCTTCCTAATGTTTAGGTAAAATCTCTTTTCCTGTAGTTTGAATTTATTGCTCTGTATCATAGCCTTGGAAGCTGCTGAAAACAAACCATGTTCAATATGACATCTTTTAATATATTTAAACATGGCTATCATGCCAGTTCTTTTCCAGGATAAACATACATAGTTCCCTAAGCCACTCCTGATAGGCCAGGTATGGGCAAACTTCAGATCTCCAGGTGTTTTGGATTTCCTACTGGCTGTTAGGAATTGTGTTAGATGAAGTCTTTTGGAGAGCCATAGTTTGCCCATGCCTGTGATAGGCCATGGTTTTCAGATTTTTATTATTTTTATCATACTACTATGGACATGTTCCATCTTGTTAATATCCCTCTTGAATTGTGGTGCCCAAAACTAGACATGGTACATGAGGTGAAGACAGACTAGGGCAGCATATAGTTTAATTCCCTTGATCTAGACACTATACTCCTACAAATGCAGC